ATAACAAGATTCCATAGAAAGGGGGGATGGAAGACGAATGTACATTAAAGTGATTCAAAACATGAGCAGACTCTGTGAGTGTTATGCACAGATGAGTTAATTGTTTTGCCTTAAATATATTTCCTGAAGAACAGAAGCCCGATCACAGCACACATCGTTATGTATTTTAGACAAACAGCACTTTGAATCAAATTATAGTACATGCATAAAATATTAAAATAAGACATTTATAACAAATCTTTCTAACTTAGTGCTCAGCTCTAAAATAGATTTATATGCGGATAAGCAATAGGTGCGATAAATGTGGTACAGATCGCACGATTTAAATTGCAAATCAATGGGGCATCATGGGAAGAAGGAATGCAGTCTTGAAGTACTGAGGGAAAAGATCCAGCTATACAATATTTTTAGGTCTTCTGCCTGATTTCGTTTTGCAATGTCTGTATCTGGACTCCACATTTGATAAATTATAATATCTGCTCTCTCATATAGGTTCTTTACACTCCCAATTTAAATGATCTAATTAAAACCTTCATTTATTGTTCCTTTTGTTTATTGTTGAACTGTTGCCAATATAGAGTTCCCCAGGGTCTTCAAGTTATTTTAGCTAGGTGTGAGATTTTAGAAGAACGTTATTGTTTCTCCATGAGCAAAATAGGCAGTGAAAAGGGGAATGATATCCTTGGTTGTGCTGGTGCTGCTGCTTCACTGGATCGCCTTGCCCTCTTTCCCCCACTGCCCAGGGTTTGTTGGACAATGTGTGGTGAATGTGTTGACAACTTGTCTCCAGGAATGATACCTCCCTAAGAATATTAAACTCGTTTCATTTATTTTGAAGAGCTTTAGGGCTATCAGGTTGAACATATATAGAGCTGAATGCTTCTAGGTTAGCTGACCTGCTAGAATGTGGGAGTCCCCCCATATCAGAAGCCCTTGGAAGAACCCTAAGGGATGAAGTTGTGCTGTGGGACTCTCATGGCATCCAGTCCACGTTGGAGAAGTAGGTCATTTGCTCCCAGCATCCCTGGGTGTAGATGCCCTGTTCTGACTTGCCCAGCAATTATTCTCAGGGCTGAAGGTCTGTGAATGAAGGGGAGGAAGGCAATCACAAAGGGTTAATGACAGTATTTCTGGGTGCTACTAACTAAAAGAGATCAAAACTAAAGTTGGCCAAAATTTTATACGTAGCTACAGAATTGAAACATCTCTCAGCAAGGGATAGAGTTGTTTTACTTAGAAAGCTTTCTTCTTTGCCTGATCTGTATGGTAGAAATTTCTCTTCTCATTGAGTATCTGTAACATTAGATTTCCTTCACAGAGGAAGTCTGTGTAGCCATGTTTCTTTGTTTGTTTGTTTGTTTATTTCTTCTTTCTCTCTTCTTCTTCTTCTTCTTCTTTTTTTTTTTTTGCAATGTTTCATATGGCTTTTTTTTTTTTAAGATTCTATTTGTTTATTTGACAGAGAGAAACAGAGAACGTGAGCGTGTGAGAGAGAGCGAGCATGGGGAGGGGGAGGGGCGAGGCAAAGGGAGAAGCAGATTCCCCTCTGAGCAGGGAGCCAGATGTGGGACTCGATCCCAGGACCCTGAGATCATGACCTGAGCTGAAGGCAGATGCTTAAGCAACTGAGCCAACCAGGCACCCCTCATACTGAGTATTTAGTGCTTACGTTCCTGGTGCAATTAACTTACTTACCTTTTTGCATTCTGCTTACCATAATTGTTTCCAATACTTTTTTGGAAGTTGTTTCATTAAAAGTAATAAAGGAAGAAATAATTGTCTTCATATTCAAGATTTTAGGTGGCAAGCTTTGATCATACTTCACATTAGCCAGTCATACCAGAAGGGAAGGGAAGGCCTGCCTATATTCCTACTGTAAAGTTGTATCTGTCAATGGTTCACTCCATGTAGGTCAGTATAAGTAGGGCGACTCTTAGGAAGAAATTAAATATATGTAATTAAATACATGTTTACAGATTCTTCCTGGAACTAAGATACCGTATGTGTTCCCAGTAGTCTGTTCCAATAAGAGCCAAGTACAACCTTAAAATAGAGATGTAAAGAGTTAGATCTGTACCATCCATTACAGTAGCCACTGGCCACATGTGGCTACTCAGCACTTAAAATGTAGTTAATCTTAGTTGGCAAGAACTATGAATATAAAATACATACCAGATGTTGAAAACTTAATACAAAAAAATGAAGTATCTCAATTTTTATATTAATTACCAAAATGATAATATTTTGGATATATTGGATTAAATAAAATATAGTAGTAAAATCATTTTCACATGTTTCTTTTTCTTTAAAATGTGGCTACTAGAAAATTTAAAATTATGTATGTGGCTCACGTTATATTTCTACTGGACAGTACTGAGCAAGATTGATGTGAGGTAATATTGTAACTAATTGGGTTAAAAGACTTTGGTATTAGGCAGCTCACTTTGTTCTTTATAGCATGGCTGAATTTCATTGTAAATGGAGTCCTATTTTAAGTGTGCCAGGAGATCTTGCTGGTTAAAGTAACCCCATGGTGAGAACTGCCATCTTATGAGTAATCGCTCCCCAATATACTTGTTTAATAGGTTTGGATTTTAATAGGGTTTTCCTAAAGCAAAGTTCACCAATTTTATCATTCGCTTTCCAACGTGACCATTATTTACTTCTGTGTGAAGAGTCTCTGGCCTTTCCTGAGATGCATTTTTTTTTGTTTATTTATCTTTCACAGTCGCCCCTTCTTAGAAGGGAAGTGTGGTTTGGGTGAATGTGCCTGGACTCCGAAGGTAGACTGCCTGGGCTCAGCACGAGCATTTGTAGTGACCTTTGGCAGACCCATGTCTCTGAGCTAAAGTTTCCTCCTCTGTGAAATGGAATGATAACTTGGAGCTTGCAGAGCAACAAGGCACATTCTGTGACATGATTGCTGTCATGGGCATATGGACTCAATGGAGTGAGCCCCCTGTCATCCCCTTTGGTTTTATAAGCACCTTAGGGCTCAAGCTTCTAGGACCCTGAATCTATATTGCTGACCACCAATTATTTTTCCCAAGGGAGGGCCATTATTATGAGCATGGTGTACCTGTTGGAAGCACAGAGGTGCTCATGGCCCTTGTGAAGAGGGTCACACATAAGCCTGGCCTGCATCTTTGCATTTGCCCTTCTCCCTGCCCAGATGACCCTCCTTCCCCCATCACTTCCTTTCCCTATCGTCTTGTCTGGCCTTCAGTGTCCAGATGAAGAATCACCTGTTTCATTAAGCCTCTTTGACTACTTCAGCAAGAACTAACTTACTAGCTTTACACATTTTACACATTCCTGTGCTTACTGTCAATGATTTCAAGCCTAATTTTGATTTCATGTGCTGAACTGTAAGCATTTTGAAGGCAGTGGCTGTGCTTGATACCTGTTTCTCAACTCCCACATAGCTCGATCAAAATTACTGATCAATTGATGAATGAGGACTTGGCTAATAGAAAATTCTCTAATGCAAGAGTAAGTATTCATGATAAGAAGTGACCCAGTAAGAAAAAAAAAAAAAAACAACACAACATATATCATCTTTCCAGATATCTGTGGTAAATAATTAATATGCATGTCAAAATTTAAGATTACCATCGTGTAAAATCTCTATCTTATTTAACTGCTGAGTTCTAGGAGATAGCCAAGTTAGTAAGAGGATGACTTATCTAAGTTTCTGATTTTAGATCCTTTTGAGATACATCAATGTGTGTAATATACATGTGTAGATAAATGTATTGAGATCACCAAGATGCTTAGTTTCCATTTGTAGTCTTTTCTCAATAAGGCAGTAGGACATTGGTGCTTTCAACTGAGCTTAGAGATGTTGAATATGACATTCATGTCATTAAAAATAGTTAGCTGTTCTTGGCTACATTCACAAAGAAGTCCCCTAATGCTTCCTTTAATTGACAGGATCCACACGTGGTGTCTGTTTTGCAAATGTACTCTGCACAGAGCGGCTGGAGCTGTGTATGTGTCTGTGTATGTTCTCTGTAGGTGACACTACCCCCTAATCAGACAATTGGTGCATTGTACTAGGACATACTGTATGCAGACAATGCCTCGCCTACCACCCCCCCCCCTTTTTTTAAACCCTGAAATATGGTTGATATGGTCCATTGCAAAATGAACCTATATTGGAAATGGCAAAATTGTAATGTAAAATATACCGGGGTCAGTGGGGTGTGCTGTTTTTTGCATATATTTTTTCTCCCCTGACCCATGCCATTCCCCTGCATACATGGAAAAAAGCTTCATCTCACACAGAAATGTGATGTCCTTTACTGCCAGAGGCTGTTGCTGTTTTAAATGAGGAAAAAGCACAATGCATGAAGAAGGAAAATTAAAGCATATTCATTTTGGAAATTAGATATGGTGTCAGGAGACTCTCAGAAAATAGCCCCGTTTGAATGGAGGCCCACACTACAAGACAGTTCACTGAACTTTTGACCACTATTTATGCTATAGAAGCTTTTGAAACAGGGAAGAGAGCAAAACATTTTATAGCTGCTTAATAGCTGAGTTCATTTTTCTTTCTTTCTTTTTCTCCCACCAGGCATTTGTCTGTCCCTTCGGTGTATATAAGATATGCAAACACCATGTAGTTTGTTGGCAGGCTTTTGTGTTAATGTTTCCAGGTTGGTTCCAAAACACACAGCTACTGGATGAGACACTCTCCTGGCCAACCCGGTGACCTTCCTTACCCTCCACAGCACAGTCTGCCTCCTGCCCTGGGGCTAGGCTGGAATGGCCAGGGTCACACAGACCTTGGGAGTGACAGTGACCTCTTCAGAGGTCATTGTGCAAGTGCAGAGAGCATATACCTTTCCCAGTTTCCCAGGATTCCTTATGCAAAATTGGACAGGGATGGGAGAGATGATGGAAAAGGCATTTTGTCTAATTTCTCCCTTTCTATTATTTGGAAGAACAGTTCTCAATTTGTGATCATCCTGTTCTGCTTCATTGCTTCCCTCCTGCAGAGCACATCACACCAGCCAGGTTAAGTGGGATTCAAGGGCCCTCCAGGAAGGACAGCCAAGATTTTTGATTCAACACTGAATAAGGAAGCACCTGGAGAAATAAGGTAGGGGAAGAGTTAATTGGAAATGGAGGGTGGGGGTCAATGTAGAGGTGGAAAAAGAATCCAGTATGTACTGGTACTAATGAAAAATATGCTTTAACTTTTATACAAATATGAAGCATGGAGCTAAATATTGCAAATTACAGGTTGTGAGTCTATGTCAGCCTTATTATTGTTATTACTATTAATGCAATGATATCAAACCTAAGGGGTCACTGTATTTGTTTAATTTATTTTCTGGGAAAGCTTAGCATTTTATTTCCAAGTGAGGACCTTTTATCTGGCCTTTCGGTGACTTGCCCCCACTGGCACCACTTGAGCTCCCCCTCTCTCGGGACCTGGGAACTCCTTTGCACTCACTCTTTCTGATCGAAACCAGGCTTGACTCTCATGGCTTTACTCCTCACTTCCCTCCTCCATCAACCATGGGTCTCACTTCTGTTAAGCAGTGACCATGTAATACCGAGCTTATCATGGTGGCTTAAGGTGGCGTGAGGACAAGGGATGCTGGGAAAAGGCTTAGCTATGGAATCGCTTTGTGCCACAGAATGTTCAAATGTTGTCTGAAGGCTGACCTTCATGTCTTTGGCTTGCAAAATAAGGACAATCTGTTCCCATACATGACTGTGAGCTCTCTGCAGACTCTGCAGGTGAGAAAAAAACTTCATCATGGGGACATGTTGCTGTTTTCTCCTGCCTGTGCTCTGTGGTTTTAACTTTGGAGGGAGAGGGAGAGGGAGAGAGGGAGAAAGAGATCATCTCTCTCCTCCCCCACTCCCAGCATTATTCATTAGGAGAGGATTGTTTTCCTCCTTTGGACAGGAAACTTCTCTCCTCTCACTAGCCAGTAACAACCCTTCTGTTCATCCTTATGTCAGACCCTCACAACTGCACTAATATGATCTCTGACAAGTGGAAGGGAGCGGGGAGAGTGTTGCAAGGGCAGCTCTGAAGTCAGGAGATGGCGCAGGGTCTGCTCAGACTACCTACTTTCTGCCGGGACTGGGAGGTTGAGCTCTGTGTGCTGACCTCAGGCCACAGGCTGAGAGAAACCAGAGAAGTTCTTTAATCAGAATCTTCTTGACCTCAGAAACTGACCTCCTTTGTTTCCTGTTCTCCCTGAGGCTTCTTGGCACTGCCAGTAGCCATGTTGCTTTTGCTCTGGCTTTGTGAGAGGAAAGTCCCAGGGAGGCCTGGGGGAATGCTTTGTGCTCCAAGCCCATACTACCCACCCACATCCAGTCTATAGCCTGATCAATGGAACTGAGATAGGATGAGGGGGATGCAAAGGGGCGAGGTCATGTTGGCCATGTTGACTGTTGGCAAAAAAGGGCTCCAGAAGTGGTGACGTCAGGCCATTCAAACGCCACAGTTTAGAGCTGGGAGTAGGGGAAAGTAAGGGATCAGGCTTGGAAAATTCTTGAGCCCTCCCAGGCTATTTCACCCTGTCCTTCCTACTTCTGAGGACTTTGCTGAGATAGATCCGTGGTGGACTCGGAAGCCCTGCATTTGTCTGTCACCCCTACCTTGGCAGAGGATAATCCTTACAGTTGTCATACCATTTGTGATGGCCTGGGGTTCCCCTGCCATTGTGGTGGCTGATAGGGGTGAGCATTTTAAATAATGAAGAAAAGGAGACACCATGACCAAATCCGGCATCCAATCCAACAACAGCCGTATTGATTTTTTCTTTTTTTCCTTTCTTAAGAGAATGAGGAGACAGGCCTAGGCAGGATTTCTGCTTCACTTAATTATAAATGGGCATATTATAGCAAATATTAATGATTGTATTAGTTTAGAAATTTCAAGTCTGACTCAAGTCTGTCACATTCTGATGACCAGGCTTTAAATGCAAATCCATCTCAAAATAGAATTCCCATTGGGTGCAGCACTGGTAAGATGACCTCAATGAATGTTGCCCATATGACAGTGAGGTGTTTTCTGGGGCGCAAGGGACTTTTCTGGTAGTTTCTGAGTATTTCTTTTATTCTTATGGTAGTCCATGAAATAGGATTTTTAAAAATAGTTTAGCCATTTCTTTCTTTATACAGTTAGGTTTTGGATGAAGGTTGTGTGACATACTAGACTGGTGAAAAGCAACTTGATGTAATAAAGAGAGGGACAGACTTGCATCCAAATCCTAGGGTCTGCCACTGGGCAGACTTCAGGCCTTGAGCAGATCAGACTCTCCTGAGCTCAGTTATCTCATAAGTAAAACAGGTAGTGATCTCGACCATGCAGCATTGTTCTGAGGATGGAGGGTACTACTCACATAATATTTACTCAATAAAAATTTATTAACATTATCACTATAAAAAGAAGTCTTAGAGCTGAATGAGGCCTGTAAAATCTGTTAGTTCAACCTTCCCCCATCTTCAGAGAAAGAAACAAAGTTTCAGAGAGAGTCAGCACCTTGCTGAGCAGTGAGCAAAATGGCCTCAGAGCTTGTGGTTGTTCACATGCTCTCAATGCCCAGACTAATGGGTTGTCTCAGTCAGCTCAGGCTGCTGTAACAAAAGTACCATAGATTGAGTGTCTGGAACACAATGAGCATTGCTTTCCCATGGTTCTAGAGGCTGCAAGTCCAGGGTTAAACTACCCACAGATTTGGTATCTGATGAGAAGAACCCTCTTCCTGGTTCATACACAACCTGCTTCTCACTCTATCCTCACATGGCAGATAGGGCCGGGGAACTTTCTGGAGTCTCTCTGTAAGGGCACAAATCCTGTCATGAAAGTCTCACTGCCATGACCTAGTAACCTTCCAAAGGCTCCACCTTCAAGTACTGTCACACTGGGCATGAGACTTCAACCTAGGACTTTGGGGGCATAGACGTTCAGTCTATAGCATGGAACACCTCCTCCTTCTGTTTCTTAGGTCAAAGTTTTCATATTTTTGAAGATGAGTGTGATCTAAGGTTTTTTCTGAAGTGTTTTAATTTTTTTTTTCTCATTGGGTATTTCTAATAAATTCTTTCAGGCCTTGAACCTTGCATATCCTTTGCTTCTTTGATGTTACTGTCTTTATTAGCTAGCCCTCTGATTCTCTTCAGATGGAATACTTTATTACTGTATTGTCCATTGATTCTTTCCTGTCTCAGACTTGTTTATTTCACAGAGGGTAGATTACATAATAAAAGAGGCTATGCAACACAATTTATTTAACTTTGTGGTGCCCAGTTTTTGCTCTCACTGATAAGTAAAAATTCCCCCCCCCCTTTTTAAAAAATTTTCTTCATTCTAATAAGGGATGGATATAATTTTGTCAACATTTGAGTTTTCTAAGACCTTTAAAAAAGCTCTTTTTATCTACTAACATCACCTCATGAATAAAAAGATCTCTGAAAACCACACGAAGATAGAAATAATGTAGTATTAGAACTCTCTTCAAGCAAGAAGGATCAGAAGGGCATGAACATTGTCTATATGGTGAACTTAGAATTTTGTCACGGGTCCGTATAGGCCCATAAACAAGTAAATGGGAACCGTTAGTCTAAGGGCAAGAGTTGGGTTGCCATGTAACTGTGTAAACTGAATAACCTTAGCTCATCAGGAGCCTAAAATGGGGATGGAAATGTTAAACTGATTTCACTGAGCAGCTATGAGTTTCAAGTAAAATGATATGAACAATGGTTTAAACATTTTGTGGTCCTATGCAAATATAATGGGTTATTATGTCAGAAAGCAATTACAGAACACCTAATTTTATTTATGTATATACACACATGTAATATAAGTTATATATTATTATATGCATATAATACCAGTGTATAAGGGCTCTATAGGACAGTCATACCCCAAGGAAAAAACAATGGGAGTGACAAGAAACATAGCTTCTAGTCATAGTCTAGTGAGCACAAAGGACTTTGGGAGTACAGAGGACAGTTATCGTGGCCCTTTCCCTGACAGAGTTCACATGAACATGGCCACTGTCCCAACATCTGCATTGACTCCACCCCTAAGCACTTATCCCTAATGCCGGACATATGCTTACGAAGAACTTTTGATCAACCGATTGTCTAAAATATGTGGAATAGCTCCCCAGATGGGATCTTGCTGTCGATGCAGTGATGCTAGAAACTGAGTAATGTGGAGCTGTGTAGAATGATAGAACAATCAGTCTAGCTCTCAGTCTTTGTTACTGTATGCCTGATTCCTGACAGACACTGAGCCTTGTTTTTCCTTAGCCTGCATATAGCTGAGGGTGCGGTGATCATGTGAGGGAGCACACACGTGTTTCAGGTCCTTGTAGCTGGGAAAGCACTGTGCTGAGCCATTATTGCAGATGAGAAAACTAAGGTTCATAGAAGTTAAGAAACTTGCTCAGTAACACATGGCAAATAACTAGCAAGGCAAAAGTTTTCGAATAAACCTATCTGACTGCCCAACTCTTGGTCTTTTCAACAAACTTACAGTCATATATATATGAGAGTTGTATGTCATAATGAGTGGAACAAGTAGGGATAACATGGACATGATGAACTTCTGCCTTTTTTCTCCTCCCCTAAATGAGTTGCCTTTCATCTTTCCTTGACTGACTCTAACTCAAGTCACAGTTGAATTGCCTTTTCCAAGGTCCAAAGACAGATACTAATCTGGGGGCAATTAGTTCAGGTGTTGTGTGGGGCCCAACTAACCTATGCTTTCTCAGATATCAGACAAGTCAGGTTACCCAATTATTTCTGAGAGTAATTACTGTGTTTTCACTCTAGTCCATTTCTACTCTTTGGCTCATTGTTTACCTCAGAGAGGAGCAAAGAATGAATTCAAGTTACAGTCTGACATTACAATGAGATTGCCAATAGAAATCAGTGACTTGTCCCATGACAAGCTAGGGTTTATGAGGCAGCCTAACGGTGTCCTTATATCTTTGCCTACCTCATTTTACTGCCATTCAAGCGGATTATACAATTTTCCTGTTATAAAGGGGGTGTAGTCAGGGCAAAAGGAAGTCTAATTGAGTTTAATAAAGCTGGAAGCAGTAGTATAGAAGACTTATAGAG